TAGTATGAATAATCCTTTTCTTTTGGATGTATCAATCTCCAAGTATAAATAAGTTGCATTATATCCAGTAACCCTTTAATCCTCGATAGCTGTCTAAATGTTATATTGGCTTTGCCTGTTGATGGATCTAGCTCAGGCTCTAAAGCCCCGTTCACATCTCCGGCCACTATTATTATTCCATGCATAAAAAGTCTAACAAGCGTGCAGAAACTTGGCATACAAATTGGGCTTGGCCTTGATTAGGGCAATATACATTTACCAGAGTACATTTCACATTTTCTAGCTGACCTTTCAAGAACAAATATCTCCCTTGTATATCTGATATCATGTCTTCCAATTGAAAGGGTATACTCTTATGAATTCCTATAGCCACCCCTTTCACTTTATTAACGTCAGAGAGGCTATAGTACCATTGGCTGTACTGACCTGTATATAATCTAGTGGTTGTAACATGGGTTAAATTAGTTTTCTGTAAGAACACGATATGGTGTCTTTAACCACTTTTACCACTAGAATTAAGCCCCTTTACATCAGAAGATATCACATTTAACATCATTTAAATTCCTTTCCATACAATACATTTCCAATTTTTATCCTAGGGTAAGAGAACCCCCCCCCCACCGTTCCCAATCCTGTAAAGACCACATGATTCCTGGATTCCTGCAGACATTCACCTAGTCACCTCCACACATATCCTCCCAGTGCAGTGGTTAGATCACGATGTGGTCCTGGGCGTCTATGAATCAATACTCCAGGCCCCGTCCCTATCTCTGTGAACTATGAATGACTTCCTAGTATCCCTTGAACACACAGTTTCTGATCTGCAGTGGGAAAACCTCTGAATAATTTACCTTGAATGAAAACTCTTTTTCTTCTGGAATGGCCTTATCGGATGCTTAACAAAAGGTTAGGTCCAGGTGGCTTTTCAGCCCTATTCTATAATAATCTGTTAGATATAGTTTCCCTGTACCTGGCGAATCTTTACAATGGGATCTGAACAGACACTGTAAATTCCCACTGTGACTATTGTGATGATTCCTAAGTCTAATAGAGACCTGAATTCTTGGACTAACTACCGCACCATTTCCTTAATTACCAAAAATATTAAAATACTGTATAAAACATCAGGTGCTAGTCACCCCTCGCAAACAAACCAGAGCAGCATCAGACACCTGATACATTTGGCTAGAACCCCACCATAAGGACTGATGCTACTAGCACTTAACATCACTAAGGCCTTTTACACAGGGTCTTGGCCTCACCTATTTGAGACCTTAGGCCACTGGGGATTTGGTAACAATTTTATCACCAGGGTAAAGTCGTTCTACTCGAATCCACAAGCCAAAATTAAATATTACGGAGTTGAATCCACACTTTTTTCCCATTGACCACAGTGCAAGACAGCGCTGTCCCCTTTTTTTAATTAATTTTGGCTCTGTCTTTGGCCGAATACAAACAAACTCACCATGATAATAAAGGGGTTGAAGTAACCGTAATGGACTATAAACTTTCCCTATTTGCAGACAACATGCTCTGGTCATTGATATCCCCTCACTTGCCTCCCAACCTTTTTACAGCATTGAACAACTTTGCTTTAATCTTGGATCTTTGGGTAAGCCAAGCCAAGTCCTAACTATGATGGTCCCATTATCTGCCTTGACCCTGGAAGAAGCAACAAGATTATTTTAACTTAGGTAGACTAATACTCTTAATTACTTAGGGATTGCTCTCCCTTGAAGTATGAATACCTGTACACAGTTTTTCCCCACCTATTATGAAAGAACTACATAAACTTTTGGACACTTTAATATTTCATAGATTGCCAGAATCCACGCAGTCAAAATGTCCTTTCTACCGAACATGCTTTATGTCCTTCGGGTCCTCCCAATCTTGACACATACTTTAAATTCTTTGATGCAAAATTCTCATGCTTGGAGGAGTTTGACCAATCAATGCCTCCAGAAGACTGGCAGGACATCTGGACCTTTGCCCACAAACGTTCGCTGCCACCATGTGTTTTTTAACGGTAACACAGACCGTGCCCAGCAAGTGCTGTGCCAATTTCAAACACTTAACAATGCCTATGATATCGCTGTCCTCTCAGACAGGAATATGACAGGATTCACTATACAGTAGCGCTACACACAGAGGCAAGGATACTTTAAGTTCGTATTTAGAGGGTAGAGATAAGCTTAACGATTTTTAAGATCGTCCTTTCATAAAAGAAACAGTGCAGAAAATATACAGAAAAAGATATTAAAAAAGAAGAGACAAAATATATATACAACAGCAAAATAAAAGGGAATAAAAGGAGAATACTCAACAGTCCTGGTTTTAGGAGTTCTGACAGAGTTCAGAGTTGTATAAGCAAAGGAGAAGTCTGAAGGGCTCTTCTTCAAGCAAGCTTTCAGCCGATAATGTCCAAAAATTAAAGGGGAACTCTTCTGTGAGGTTAAGACTGCTTAGTTGCTTGATGTTTTTAAAAACGAGAGCCATCTCTAGCTAGTTCAGCATCTTTTTGTCAGTCCTTTAGGAGCCAGCCCCTAGGGCAGGGCTGGGGCTGGAAAGCAGGCGGAGGATGAACCTTTATTTTACACTATCCCGCCCAATTCCATATTATGAAATTGTAGGTTGAATTTTTAATATTCAGACTCAGACCCCATTATCATCACACTGAAAAGCTCTTAAGTCCTTTTTAGATAGTATTAATCCCCCAGCCTACCTTGCTAAATGTATTCCTACCTATCTATTGAGGTGCTTTTGGGGTTGCACCGAGTCAGGTACAATGTTATATAGTGTGGAAAATAATTTTTTGATCCAATGCAGATTTTGTAAGTTTGCCCACTTACAAAGAAATTAAAGGTCTATATTTTTTATCATAGGTGTATTTTAAATGATAGAGACATAATATCAACCAAAAATAGTCACAAATAAAAAAAAAGTAAAATAACACAAGGTTATTGTTGTCTGTGTAAACCTTTTATCTGAGCAACCCGTGTATGCTCATTCTTAGAATTCAAGGCAGGAAAGCAATGAAAAGCTTCCTGTGCTACTTACCAACCCAGTCAGTCACTTACCAATCCCCATGTGGGGGATAACTGCAGCTCAACTTCAAGGCCTTGGTAGCACTCTCTGGCATACAGTAACTTCAAGGAGGCCTCCCAGCACGGGAGATCCCTGCATCTTCCCACATCCCTAGGCCCTAAGGCCTAAGGACAAGACTGATAGTTACAGATGCATCCTCTCAGGGCGAAACCCTGGAGGAAAGACCATGTGCTTTAAAGTGCCTTAGATATTTAATAGCAATCCCAGCATGCACAGCATTATATGTGTTGAGTTATGTCTTTGGTTATATTGGAGCCACAGTTGATTTTAGTATTAGGTTACAACTAAAGCAGGGGTCTCAAACTCATTTCACTCAGGGGCCACTGGACAATTTTTTTTCCCATGGAGGCCATTTGCCAAATGTCATACTTCAAAATAACATGTAACTATATACGGTAGCAGCTTTAATGTCTGCGTGTGTTTATAATGTCCCTGTAAATGTAAATGTGTTTGCGATGGTTTCTTTGTATGCAATATCAGTATATTTTTTGTGATGCTTTGTGTGTATTGTCAGGATTTCTATGAGTGATGTCGGCGTGTGTGTTAATGTTTGCGTGTGTCATATCAGTATGTGAACTTGTGTATATGTGTGCAGTGTTTTCTAGCAGGTTTTAATTACAGAGGACCAACATATTCACACATTCACTCACACAGACATATACACACACAGAGAAGTACACACATACACACATAGAAATATGCACAAACAGAATTATGCACAAACAGAAATACGCCCCCCCAAACAGAAATACACACACAATAAGGCCCCATTCACACATGTAAGTTTAGGTGCGATTTAGGAATTCCTGCATGAGGAACTTGCTTTTTCCTGCAGCAGGAATCCCTAATCTGGCATTTACACGTTCAAGGAAATAACCAGGTGACAGCCACTGCATGTAAACACCAACAAACCGCATGTAATCATATGTGATATGACTACATGCGGTTAAGAATTAATCACTAGCCCTGGATGCATCAATTGTGCATCTGGGGAGAAATATTGTTTTCTAACTGCATGTAATGGAGTGGAAAACTGTAGCACATGGCACATGTACCACTAGTAGCACTGAAAGCACTGAAGCATCTGGTGGCTCTGGTAACCAGGTAGTACTGGTAGCAGAGTGGCACTTGAAGTGCCACTCTGCTACTGGGATAGTTACTTTTAAGGTGGGGGAGGTAAAGTGCAACTGACCACCAAGGATTGCATTATTACTTTTAAGGTGGGGGTGGGAGGGGGTTAAAGTGTCACTGACCACCAATGATTGCTGGACTGTGCTTTTTAGGGAGGTTTAAAGTGTCACTGACCAAGAATGACTGGAATTTTTATGCAGGTGGGGGGATTTTAAAGTGCCATTTACCACAAATGATCAGCAGATTCT